TCTGGTCCAACCGTCTGTGCAGGTCCTGTGGAAGAACATGCAGTGTTTCTCAGTGTCCTGTGGAAGAACATCAGTGTTTCTCAGTGTCCTGTGGAAGAACATCAGTGTTTCTCTGTGTCCTGTGGAAGAACATCAGTGTTTCTCTGTGTCCTGTGGAAGAACATCAGTGTTTCTCTGTGTCCTGTGGAAGAACATGCAGTGTTTCTCAGTGTCCTGTGGAAGAACATCAGTGTTTCTCTGTGTCCTGTGGAAGAACATCAGTGTTTCTCTGTGTCCTGTGGAAGAACATCAGTGTTTCTCTGTGTCCTGTGGAAGAACATCAGTGTTTCTCTGTGTCCTGTGGAAGAACATCAGTGTTTCTCAGTGTCCTGTGGAAGAACATCAGTGTTTCTCTGTGTCCTGTGGAAGAACATGCAGTGTTTCTCTGTGTCCTGTGGAAGAACATCAGTGTTTCTCTGTGTCCTGTGGAAGAACATCAGTGTTTCTCTGTGTCCTGTGGAAGAACATCAGTGTTTCTCTGTGTCCTGTGGAAGAACATCAGTGTTTCTCTGTGTCCTGTGGAAGAACATCAGTGTTTCTCTGTGTCCTGTGGAAGAACATCAGTGTTTCTCTGTGTCCTGTGGAAGAACATCAGTGTTTCTCTGTGTCCTGTGGAAGAACATCAGTGTTTCTCTGTGTCCTGTGGAAGAACATCAGTGTTTCTCTGTGTCCTGTGGAAGAACATCAGTGTTTCTCAGTGTCCTGTGGAAGAACATCAGTGTTTCTCTGTGTCCTGTGGAAGAACATCAGTGTTTCTCTGTGTCCTGTGGAAGAACATCAGTGTTTCTCTGTGTCCTGTGGAAGAACATGCAGTGTTTCTCTGTGTCCTGTGGAAGAACATCAGTGTTTCTCTGTGTCCTGTGGAAGAACATCAGTGTTTCTCTGTGTCCTGTGGAAGAACATCAGTGTTTCTCTGTGTCCTGTGGAAGAACATCAGTGTTTCTCTGTGTCCTGTGGAAGAACATGCAGTGTTTCTCTGTGTCCTGTGGAAGAACATCAGTGTTTCTCTGTGTCCTGTGGAAGAACATCAGTGTTTCTCTGTGTCCTGTGGAAGAACATCAGTGTTTCTCTGTGTCCTGTGGAAGAACATCAGTGTTTCTCTGTGTCCTGTGGAAGAACATCAGTGTTTCTCTGTGTCCTGTGGAAGAACATCAGTGTTTCTCTGTGTCCTGTGTTTCCTGTGGAAGAACATCAGTGTTTCTCTGTGTCCTGTGGAAGAACATCAGTGTTTCTCTGTGTCCTGTGGAAGAACATCAGTGTTTCTCTGTGTCCTGTGGAAGAACATCAGTGTTTCTCTGTGTCCTGTGGAAGAACATCAGTGTTTCTCTGTGTCCTGTGGAAGAACATCAGTGTTTCTCTGTGTCCTGTGGAAGAACATCAGTGTTTCTCTGTGTCCTGTGGAAGAACATGCAGTGTTTCTCTGTGTCCTGTGGAAGAACATGCAGTGTTTCTCAGTGTCCTGTGGAAGAACATCAGTGTTTCTCTGTGTCCTGTGGAAGAACATCAGTGTTTCTCTGTGTCCTGTGGAAGAACATCAGTGTTTCTCTGTGTCCTGTGGAAGAACATCAGTGTTTCTCTGTGTCCTGTGGAAGAACATCAGTGTTTCTCTGTGTCCTGTGGAAGAACATCAGTGTTTCTCTGTGTCCTGTGGAAGAACATCTGGCAGTCAGTGTTTCTCTGTGTCCTGTGGAAGAACATCAGTGTTTCTCTGTGTCCTGTGGAAGAACATCAGTGTTTCTCTGTGTCCTGTGGAAGAACATCAGTGTTTCTCTGTGTCCTGTGGAAGAACATCAGTGTTTCTCTGTGTCCTGTGGAAGAACATCAGTGTTTCTCTGTGTCCTGTGGAAGAACATCAGTGTTTCTCTGTGTCCTGTGGAAGAACATCAGTGTTTCTCTGTGTCCTGTGGAAGAACATCAGTGTTTCTCTGTGTCCTGTGGAAGAACATCAGTGTTTCTCTGTGTCCTGTGGAAGAACATCAGTGTTTCTCTGTGTCCTGTGGAAGAACATGCAGTGTTTCTCTGTGTCCTGTGGAAGAACATCAGTGTTTCTCTGTGTCCTGTGGAAGAACATCAGTGTTTCTCTGTGTCCTGTGGAAGAACATCAGTGTTTCTCTGTGTCCTGTGGAAGAACATCAGTGTTTCTCTGTGTCCTGTGGAAGAACATGCAGTGTTTCTCTGTGTCCTGTGGAAGAACATCAGTGTTTCTCTGTGTCCTGTGGAAGAACATCAGTGTTTCTCTGTGTCCTGTGGAAGAACATCAGTGTTTCTCTGTGTCCTGTGGAAGAACATCAGTGTTTCTCTGTGTCCTGTGGAAGAACATCAGTGTTTCTCTGTGTCCTGTGGAAGAACATCAGTGTTTCTCTGTGTCCTGTGGAAGAACATCAGTGTTTCTCTGTGTCCTGTGGAAGAACATCAGTGTTTCTCTGTGTCCTGTGGAAGAACATCAGTGTTTCTCTGTGTCCTGTGGAAGAACATCAGTGTTTCTCGTGTCCTGTGGAAGAACATCAGTGTTTTCTCTGTGTCCTGTGGAAGAACATCAGTGTTTCTCTGTGTCCTGTGGAAGAACATCAGTGTTTCTCTGTGTCCTGTGGAAGAACATCAGTGTTTCTCTGTGTCCTGTGGAAGAACATCAGTGTTTCTCAGTGTCCTGTGGAAGAACATCAGTGTTTCTCTGTGTCCTGTGGAAGAACATCAGTGTTTCTCTGTGTCCTGTGGAAGAACATCAGTGAAGTTTCTCTGTGTCCTGTGGAAGAACATCAGTGTTTCTCTGTGTCCTGTGGAAGAACATCAGTGTTTCTCTGTGTCCTGTGGAAGAACATCAGTGTTTCTCTGTGTCCTGTGGAAGAACATCAGTGTTTCTGTTCTCTGTGTCCTGTGGAAGAACATCAGTGTTTCTCTGTGTCCTGTGGAAGAACATCAGTGTTTCTCTGTGTCCTGTGGAAGAACATGCAGTGTTTCTCTGTGTCCTGTGGAAGAACATCAGTGTTTCTCTGTGTCCTGTGGAAGAACATCAGTGTTTCTCTGTGTCCTGTGGAAGAACATCAGTGTTTCTCTGTGTCCTGTGGAAGAACATCAGTGTTTCTCTGTGTCCTGTGGAAGAACATCAGTGTTTCTCTGTGTCCTGTGGAAGAACATCAGTGTTTCTCTGTGTCCTGTGGAAGAACATCAGTGTTTCTCTGTGTCCTGTGGAAGAACATGCAGTGTTTCTCTGTGTCCTGTGGAAGAACATGCAGTGTTTCTCTGTGTCCTGTGGAAGAACATCAGTGTTTCTTCTGTGTCCTGTGGAAGAACATCAGTGTTTCTCTGTGTCCTGTGGAAGAACATGCAGTGTTTCTCTGTGTCCTGTGGAAGAACATCAGTGTTTCTCTGTGTCCTGTGGAAGAACATCAGTGTTTCTCAGTGTCCTGTGGAAGAACATGCAGTGTTTCTCTGTGTCCTGTGGAAGAACATCAGTGTTTCTCTGTGTCCTGTGGAAGAACATCAGTGTTTCTCAGTGTCCTGTGGAAGAACATGCAGTGTTTCTCTGTGTCCTGTGGAAGAACATCAGTGTTTCTCTGTGTCCTGTGGAAGAACATCAGTGTTTCTCTGTGTCCTGTGGAAGAACATGCAGTGTTTCTCTGTGTCCTGTGGAAGAACATCAGTGTTTCTCTGTGTCCTGTGGAAGAACATCAGTGTTTCTCTGTGTCCTGTGGAAGAACATCAGTGTTTCTCTGTGTCCTGTGGAAGAACATCAGTGTTTCTCAGTGTCCTGTGGAAGAACATCAGTGTTTCTCTGTGTCCTGTGGAAGAACATCAGTGTTTCTCTGTGTCCTGTGGAAGAACATCAGTGTTTCTCTGTGTCCTGTGGAAGAACATCAGTGTTTCTCTGTGTCCTGTGGAAGAACATGCAGTGTTTCTCTGTGTCCTGTGGAAGAACATCAGTGTTTCTCTGTGTCCTGTGGAAGAACATCAGTGTTTCTCAGTGTCCTGTGGAAGAACATCAGTGTTTCTCAGTGTCCTGTGGAAGAACATCAGTGTTTCTCTGTGTCCTGTGGAAGAACATCAGTGTTTCTCTGTGTCCTGTGGAAGAACATCAGTGTTTCTCAGTGGCACAGCTACAGGTTAGCCATAACAAATGCCAAAGCAGCACATTTATGGACCCACCGCTCTGTGTGTTTTTATTATCATTGCATTTCTGTTTGAACGCTTTGTTTCTCCGTTCTGCGTCGGACAGTGTCACAGTTTTATTAAGTCTTGTGATTTAGGCCGATACACGAGAATATTGAATTTAATTGAATTATACCAACATGAGGGGTCAGGAGGCCGCATAGAAATGTGAAAGAGGCCGAATGTGGGCCCCGGACCACGACTTGCTCTGGTCTGTTCTCATCTGTATGGACTCAAAACATGTTTATTCAGACTGGCTTTTAATACTTTTAACACTCATTACACTGTGACACTGATATTGGAATGTAACTTAAGTTATCATTTTGGTAAATCATATGTGGCTATGTGCTGAATGCTCTGTATTGTAATTCACTTTAGCTTCAGGAAGACCCCGGGAGGTCTGGGGAGCTCATATGCTAAGTGTCTTTTGTTGTGTTGGTTTCTTCCTTTCCCATCTGCATATGAAGGTGTGTCTTGTTCTACCAAAAGGGGCTTGCAGACTGTGGATCTTCAGACTTGTTCTGAGAGAGGCTGGGTCTGTGCCTTGCCTCTGTCAGGACATTCTCCTTGTACAATGTAACAAGTAAAAGATTAACTTTGTCTCTTTGTTGTGTGAGATTTCATCAGGTTCAACTGTAGCTGAAACAGCATTATCAGACACTTAATGTGTTTTTAACTGTTTTATCGTTTTAATGCATAAATGTTTGAATGGATTTTATGTGTTTTTATTGTGAAGCCTTTTGGTCGCCTCGAGTGTTGTAAAGCTATGAATAAAACTGATGGATTTAAAAACATTACAAACTGCTCTGACCTCTAACTCTGCCTCACTGTAGCTCAGATGAAAGGGTCGGATGGAAGCGTCCTCCTCTCCCTCTGGTCTCTCTCCCACTCCCCACCATCCGTCCTCCGTCTGCAGGACATTTGACTGTTTCCACTTATTCAGCACCAGGAGCAGGAGCGCCCCCAGCCCCACCGCCAGAACCAGCTCCAGCAACATCCGGGTCACGGGAAGATCACTGCTGCTGCAAACACTGAGCAAAAACAACATCAAAGTCTGTGTTATCTCACTCTGAAAGACATGGAACGGTTCATCAGACAGACGCAGCAGCTGTGGCCACAGGATAACCACAGGGCCTTCATCCTCACTGCTGTCAGACTGTACAATAAGAAGAAGAACCTGCTGTTATTGTACATAATTATATCCTGCACAGACTATTTTAAACCTTTAACATGTTTCACACTTCTGTCTTTTGCACAAAGTGATTCTATCTGTGCCAAATGTGCCACAATAATTGATTAATTGCAGACGATGTTGTCCTGTTGGCTCCAACGAACCAGGACCTGCAGCATGCACTGGGACGGGTGTGGCCCAGTGTGAAGCGGCTGGGATGGGAATCAGCACCTCCAAATCTGAGGCCATGGTGCTCGACCGGAAAAAGGTGCCTTGTCCTCTCCAGGTCCGGGTCCTCTCCAGGTCCTGGTCCTCTCCAGGTCCTGGTCCTCTCCTGGTCCTGGAGAGGTCCTTCCTCAAGTGGAGGAGTTCAAGTATCTCGGGGTCTTGTTCACGAGTGAGGGAAGGATGGAGCGTGAGATTGACAGGCGGATCGGTGCAGCGTGCGCAGTTATGCGGTCGCTGTATCGGACCGTTGTGGTAAAGAGGGAGCAGCGTCTGCAGTCAGAGCTGTATCGGACCGTTGTGGTAAAGAGGGAGCAGCGTCTGCAGTCAGAGCTCCCTCACCTATGGTCATGAGCTTTGGGTAATGACCGAAAGAACGAGATCGCGGATACAAGCGGTCGAAATGAGCTTCCTCCGCAGAGTGGCTGCTCCCTTAGAGATAGGGTGAGGAGCTCAGTCACACGGGAGGAGCTCGGAGTAGAACCGCTGCTTCTCCACGTCGAGAGGAACCAGTTGAGGTGGCTCGGGCATCTGTTCCGGATGCCTCCTGGACGCCTCCCTGGGGAGGTGTTCCGGGCACGTCCCACCGGGAGGAGGCCCCTGGGAAGACCCAGGACACGCTGGAGGGACTATGTCTCTCAGCTGGCCTGGGAACGCCTTGGACGAGCTGGAGGAAGTGTGTGTGGATAGGGAAGTCTGGGCGTCTCTGCTTAGACTGCTGCCCCCACGACCCGGCAACGGATAAAGCGGAAGAAAATGGATGGATGGATGTTCTAAAGTTGTGGTGATGTGAATCATGTTTCATCATTTTCATTTTATTGCCATGTGACTAAACAAGAAGTCACAAACAGGGAATTCTTTGGCTCTCAGTGGCTCATTTACATAAATATTCAGAATATGTTTCTAAATCCTTTGAGGAGCTACTAAACCTAATCCCACTGAAGGGGGCGGAGCTACTAAACCTAATCCCACTGAAGGGGGTGGAGTTCCTCAACCTCTGGCCTAGATCAGTGAAATCAAGAGGAAAAGTAAAATATGATTTAACAAAGGTGTAGGCAGCAGTGTGAGAGGTTAAAGCCACACAGAGCTTGGTCTGCGTGTTTCCAAACTCTGTGTCAGACTCTGCAGTGAGTACAGAGTCCATGGGTTAGAGCACAGACTGTAGAGCAGACTGTAGAGCACAGACTGTAGAGCAGACTGTAGAGCAGACTGTAGAGCACAGACTGTAGAGCAGAGGCTGTAGAGCACAGACTGTAGAGCAGAGGGTGTAGAGCACAGACTGTAGAGCAGAGGCTGTAGAGCACAGACTGTAGAGCAGACTGTAGAGCACAGACTGTAAAGCACAGACTGTAGAGCAGAGGCTGTAGAGCACAGACTGTAGAGCAGAGGCTGTAGAGCACAGACTGTAGAGCAGAGGCTGTAGAGCACAGACTGTAGAGTACAGACTGTAGAGCACAGGCTGTAGAGCAGACTGTAGAGCACAGGCTGTAGAGCAGACTGTAGAGCACAGACTGTAGAGCAGAGGCTGTAGAGCAGACTGTAGAGCACAGACTGTAGAGCAGAGGCTGTAGAGCACAGACTGTAGAGCAGAGGCTGTAGAGCACAGACTGTAGAGCAGAGGCTGTAGAGCACAGACTGTAGAGCAGAGGCTGTAGAGCACAGACTGTAGAGCAGACTGTAGAGCACAGACTGTAGAGCACAGGCTGTAGAGCAGACTGTAGAGTACAGACTGTAGAGCACAGGCTGTAGAGCAGACTGTAGAGCACAGACTGTAGAGCAGACTGTAGAGCACAGGCTGTAGAGCAGACTGTAGAGCACAGACTGTAGAGCACAGACTGTAGAGCAGAGGCTGTAGAGCAGAGACTGTAGAGCAGAGGCTGTAGAGCAGAGACTGTAGAGCAGAGGCTGTAGAGCACAGACTGTAGAGCAGAGGCTGTAGAGCACAGACTGTAGAGCAGAGGCTGTAGAGCACAGACTGTAGAGCAGAGGCTGTAGAGCACAGACTGTAGAGCACAGGCTGTAGAGCACAGACTGTAGAGCAGAGGCTGTAGAGCAGAGGCTGTAGAGCACAGACTGTAGAGCACAGGCTGTAGAGCACAGACTGTAGAGCAGACTGTAGAGCACAGACTGTAGAGCACAGACTGTAGAGCAGAGGCTGTAGAGCACAGACTGTAGAGCAGACTGTAGAGCACAGACTGTAGAGCACAGGCTGTAGAGCAGACTGTAGAGTACAGACTGTAGAGCACAGACTGTAGAGCAGACTGTAGAGCACAGGCTGTAGAGCAGACTGTAGAGCACAGACTGTAGAGCACAGACTGTAGAGCAGAGGCTGTAGAACACAGACTGTAGAGCAGAGGCTGTAGAACACAGACTGTAGAGCAGAGGCTGTAGAGCACAGACTGTAGAGCAGAGGCTGTAGAGCAGAGGCTGTAGAGCACAGACTGTAGAGCACAGACTGTAGAGCAGAGGCTGTAGAGCACAGGCTGTAGAGCAGAGGCTGTAGAGCACAGACTGTAGAGCACAGACTGTAGAGCAGAGGCTGTAGAGCACAGACTGTAGAGCAGAGGCTGTAGAACACAGACTGTAGAGCAGAGGCTGTAGAGCACAGACTGTAGAGCAGAGGCTGTAGAGCAGAGGCTGTAGAACACAGGCTGTAGAGCAGAGGCTGTAGAGCAGAGACTGTAGAGCACAGACTGTAGAGCAGAGGCTGTAGAGCAGAGGCTGTAGAACACAGGCTGTAGAGCAGAGGCTGTAGAGCAGAGACTGTAGAGCACAGACTGTAGAGCAGAGGCTGTAGAGCAGAGGCTGTAGAGCACAGACTGTAGAGCAGAGGCTGTAGAGCAGAGGCTGTAGAACACAGGCTGTAGAGCAGAGGCTGTAGAGCAGAGGCTGTAGAACACAGGCTGTAGAGCAGAGGCTGTAGAGCAGAGACTGTAGAGCACAGACTGTAGAGCAGAGGCTGTAGAGCAGAGGCTCCTGAGTCCTGCGTTATTATAAAACATGTGCATTATTGAAGCTTTTAAGTCAAAGACAAGAAACGGTCCTGTTACTTTATCATTTACAACAGCACTGCGACACAGACCCATGGACAGACCGGGACAGACCCATGGACAGACCGGGACAGACCCATGGACAGTCCGGGACAGACCCATGGACAGTCCGGGACAGACCCATGGACAGTCCGGGACAGACCCATGGACAGACCGGGACAGACCCATGGACAGTCCGGGACAGACCCATGGACAGACCGGGACAGACCCATGGACAGTCCGGGACAGACCCATGGACAGTCCGGGACAGACCCATGGACAGTCCGGGACAGACCCATGGACAGTCCGGGACAGACCCATGGACAGACCGGGACAGACCCATGGACAGTCCGGGACAGACCCATGGACAGACCGGGACAGACCCATGGACAGTCCGGGACAGACCCATGGACAGTCCGGGACAGACCCATGGACAGTCCGGGACAGACCCATGGACAGTCCGGGACAGTCCGGGACAGTGGGAACAGAAACAGAGACTCACCAGGACCTCAGCTACAGACAGTCCTCCTCAAAGAAGTATAATAATAATAATACTATGGGTCTATGCGAAAGTCCAGCTCCGGGGTCCGCCTCCAGCCTCGGACCTGCGCACTGCTGACGTCATGACCACGGGAGCGCGCAAACGGATTTTTCTTTTCTTCTGTTTTTATCATAGACTGTATATATTAAAGTTTTTATACATTTGGAGATTTAACGTAAAATACTTTTTCAAATGCCATGTGTTTTTACTCTGTGTCTGTGGTTCAGCATCACCCATTACCAAACACCGCGGGAAAATTAGAAATATCCTGATCATGAATTATTGATCACTTTTGTAAAATGTGATAATTATGTAGTAGGTAACAAACCCATACAACGTTCCTTTGGGATTTAGACATTTACATGATATTTCACCTTCAACTGGACATGCAGACTTTACACTGACAAGGATCAAGGACTAGAGATGGCGAGGCCGATGACATTTCTATGGATGGACTTTTCTTCCTCTTATCTTTATCATTATAAGGTTTTGTCCTGGGTTTGTGTCCAGAAGAGCAAGAGAATTGTACCATTATACTTTGCTTCAAGTAAGATCCTTGAGCAGCACGGTGGGACAGCGGTTAGCAAAAAGCTCCTGGGTTCAATTTGACTTCAAGTTTCCCCCATCACAAAAAACATGTAGAAAAGTCTCCAATAACAGCCAGACCACAGTCGGTCTTTCTCTGGGACCAGGACTTCCCTGAAAGAGAGATTGTTATTCATCTCCGTCCCACTGAGGTCCCACAAACACTTTTCTGAACACAGCGGTTACTCTCTGTGCTCGTGACAGATTCAGTCCAAATTAAATTAAATTAAATTACTTAATGACCATTTCCAACATGACACGTCAGACATGTGCTTCTGTCTCACATAACCCAGTTTCAACAATCTCGCTTAATCCCAAATTTCAGGAACACAGAATCTTCCACATTGTCGGGACCAGCTCAGAGCAGTCGTGTTGTTTTCCTGCAACACTCCGATCTCAAACCCATTCAATGAAAAACTTTATTACAGCATTTGGAAAAAACCCTCTCATTATAGTCACATCATAGTATCCCAATCTAGAAGAAGCAATGGATTCTATGGAAAACAAAAGCAAACTCTAAAGTCTTGCAAAAGTTACAAGATATAAGGTTTATTTGATGCATTTCTCTATTTGAAATAAACGACCACATTTCTCCGTGTGGCACAAGTCCGTTAGAATAAAATAAAGCTTGAATGACCCAGCGGTTTCGGCATTTGATAAAAGAAAACAGAATCCGTTGTGGGTCACATGGCTCAGTCTCAGTCCGTCTCCATGGCGCTGTGCGTCTCCTTGGAAACCATCAGTCTCATCAGTTTTCCATGAAGCTTCTCGATCTTCTTGACGTCCTGGGCCTGGTCCGTCTTGTACTGTAAACACTGACACACAGCCACATGTTAGAACATCCTGGTTACTCTACACAGCAACATCTGAGACATGTTAGTGCCATATGAAGCATTGGGTCTCTGAGGAGCACAGGGACTGGCCTCCTGCTGGGACTCTGAGGAGCACAGGGACTGGCCTCCTGCTGGGACTCTGAGGAGCACAGGGACTGGCCTCCTGCTGGGACTCTGAGGAGCACAGGGACTGGCCTCCTGCTGGGACTCTGAGGAGCACAGGGACTGGCCTCCTGCTGGGACTCTGTGGAGCACAGGGACTGGCCTCCTGCTGGGACTCTGTGGAGCACAGGGACTGGCCTCCTGCTGGGACTCTGAGGAGCACAGGGACTGGCCTCCTGCTGGGACTCTGAGGAGCACAGGGACTGGACTCCTGCTGGGACTCTGAGGAGCACAGGGACTGGCCTCCTGCTGGTCCCAGAGTCAGGACTAAACATGGAGAGGCAGTGTTTCAGATTCATGTAGCTATAAACTGGAACAGTCTTCCTGAAAGTGTGAGACAATGTTCTGTTTAGCTGTGCAGACAACTGAGGGATGCTCTTTTGAATGTACTGTGATTATTTGTGCCTTGCAAGATTGTTTCCACCTCGTTTCCACTTGTTTAACCTCGCCTAAAACATAAAACATGTTCTTTTGAATGTTACCCACTCCATGTTTTATAGACTTCACTGTCATCGTGTTTACAAAACGCAATCATTGTCAAACTTAGAACACGGCACTGTTAGACGGGCGACGGTCAAAAAGATTTAGATTTGAAATGACATATGCGTCCATTACCTGTGTCCCCAGACATAGGGTAATGAAACCTGCCCACATGGTACATAACTTAGACAGGTACATGGTTTGAAAAGGGCTCAGATGTAGCAGGAGTTATAGTTCCTCTCTTCAACACAATACAATTAATATAACCTAAAATATTAGACAACACAGGCCCAGACACCGCCTCATCTCTGTGTGATTAGAATTATGATTTAACTTTAACTTTAAAACAATGACCACATTATTTATGACATGTCTTAAGTGGATAATCCAATCAGAACGAGTCTGTGACTTTGCCATTCTCTTTGGTGGAAAACAACTAAAGACATTGAAACGTGCTTAAATGATATAAACCATTGTATCTTAATATCAACAATTACTGTCGTGGATTCTACACTGGATCAATCCAGGAGCAAGCAGCGGATTATGAAAATACACTCGTTATATAGACTCATAAAACAGAAGTTATAAGAATGATGCAAAGGCCCCACGTTGCTCTAGAGAATTGTGTGTCCGTGTACACACAGATCTATGTGTATCTGTGTGTGTCTTTTTGGGTTTGTGTGAGTCTCTGTGTGTGTGTCTGTATGGGTCTGTGTGTACGTCTGTATGTACGTGTCTGTGTCTCTGTGTGTGTGTCTGTATGGGTCTGTGTGTGTCTGTGTGTACGTGTCTGTGTGTGTGTCTGTATGGGTCTGTGTGTGTCTGTGTGTACGTGTCTGTGTGTGTGTCTGTATGGGTCTGTGTGTGTCTGTGTGTACGTGTCTGTGTGTGTGTCTGTATGGGTCTGTGTGTGTCTGTGTGTACGTGTCTGTGTGTGTGTCTGTATGGGTCTGTGTGTACGTCTGTATGTACGTGTCTGTGTCTGTGTACGTGTCTGTGTGTGTGTCCGTCTGTATGGGTCTGTGTGTGTCTGTGTGTGTGTCTGTATGTATGGGTCTGTATGGGTCTGTGTGGGTCTGTGTGTGTGTGTGTGGGTCTGTGTGTGTGTCTATATGGGTCTGTGTGTGTCTATATGGGTCTGTGTGTATATGTGTGTCTATATGGGTCTGTGTGTGTCTGTATGGGTCTGTGTGTGTCTGTGTGTGTCTGTATGTGTCTGTATGTGTCTGTGTGGGTCTGTGTGTGTCTGTGTGTGTGTGTGTGTGTGTCTGTGTGTGTCTGTGTGTGTCTGTGTGTGTCTGTGTGTGTCTGTGTGTGTCTGTGTGTGTCTGTGTGTGTCTGTGTGTGTATATGTGTGTCTGTGTGTGTATATGTGTGTCTGTGTGTGTCTATATGGGTCTGTGTGTGTCTGTCTGTGTGTATATGTGTCTGTGTGGGTCTGTGTGTGTCTGTGTGTGTCTGTGTGTGTATATGTGTGTCTGTGTGTGTCTATATGGGTCTGTGTGTGTCTGTCTGTGTGTATATGTGTCTGTGTGGGTCTGTGTGTTGTGTCTGTGTGTGTCTGTGTGTGTCTGTGTGTGTCTGTATGGGTCTGTGTGTGTGTGTGTGTGTCTGTGTGTGTATATGTGTGTCTGTGTGTGTCTATATGGGTCTGTGTGTGTCTGTCTGTGTGTATATGTGTCTGTGTGGGTCTGTGTGTGTCTGTGTGTGTCTGTATGGGTCTGTGTGTGTGTGTGTGTGTCTGTATGGGTCTGTGTGTGTCTGTGTGTGTCTGTGTGTGTCTGTGTGTGTATATGTGTGTCTGTGTGTGTCTATATGGGTCTGTGTGTGTCTGTCTGTGTGTATATGTGTCTGTGTGGGTCTGTGTGTGTGTCTGTGTGTGTCTGTGTGTGTCTGTGTGTGTCTGTATGGGTCTGTGTGTGTGTGTGTGTGTCTGTGTGTGTCTGTGTGTGTATATGTGTGTCTGTGTGTGTCTATATGGGTCTGTGTGTGTCTGTATGGGTCTGTGTGTGTCTGTGTGTGTCTGTGTGTGTCTGTATGGGTCTGTGTGTGTGTGTGTGTGTCTGTATGGGTCTGTGTGTGTCTGTGTGTGTCTGTGTGTGTCTGTGTGTGTATATTGTGTGTCTGTGTGTGTCTATATGGGTCTGTGTGTGTCTGTCTGTGTGTCTGTGTGTGTCTGTGTGTGTATATGTGTGTCTGTGTGTGTCTGTGTGTGTCTGTGTGTGTCTATGTGTGTCTATGTGTGTCTGTGTGTGTCTGTGTGTGTCTGTGTGTGTGTGTGTCTGTGTGTGTCTGTGTGTGTCTGTATGGGTCTGTGTGTGTGTGTGTGTGTCTGTATGGGTCTGTGTGTGTCTGTGTGTGTCTGTGTGTGTCTGTGTGTGTATGTGTGTGTCTGTGTGTGTCTATGTGTGTCTGTGTGTGTCTGTCTGTGTGTCTGTGTGTGTCTGTGTGTGTATATGTGTGTCTGTGTGTGTCTGTGTGTGTCTGTGTGTGTCTATGTGTGTCTGTGTGTGTCTGTGTGTGTCTGTGTGTGTCTGTGTGTGTGTCTGTGTGTGTCTGTGTGTGTCTGTGTGTGTCTGTGTGTGTCTGTGTGTGTCTATATGGGTCTGTGTGTGTCTGTGTGTGTCTATGTGGGTCTGTGTGTGTCTGTGTGTGTCTGTGTGTGTCTGTGTGTGTCTGTGTGTGTCTATATGGGTCTGTGTGTGTCTGTGTGTGTCTATGTGGGTCTGTGTGTGTCTGTGTGTGTCTGTGTGGGTCTGTGTGTGTCTATATGGGTCTGTGTGTGTCTGTGTGGGTCTGTGTGTGTCTGTGTGGGTCTGTGTGTGTCTATATGGGTCTGTGTGTGTCTGTGTGTGTCTGTGTGTGTCTATGTGGGTCTGTGTGTGTCTGTGTGTGTCTGTGTGTGTCTATATGGGTCTGTGTGTGTCTGTGTGTGTCTATATGGGTCTGTGTGTGTCTGTGTGTGTCTGTGTGTGTCTGTGTGGGTCTGTGTGTGTCTGTGTGTGTCTGTGTGTGTCTATATGGGTCTGTGTGTGTCTGTGTGTGTCTGTGTGTGTCTATGTGGGTCTGTGTGTGTCTGTGTGTGTCTGTGTGTGTCTGTGTGTGTCTGTGTGTGTCTGTGTGTGTCTATATGGGTCTGTGTGTGTCTGTGTGTGTCTATGTGGGTCTGTGTGTGTCTGTGTGTGTCTGTGTGGGTCTGTGTGTGTCTGTGTGGGTCTGTGTGTGTCTGTGTGTGTCTGTGTGTGTCTGTCTGTGTGGGTCTGTGTGTGTCTGTGTGTGTCTGTGTGTGTCTATATGTGTCTGTGTGTGTCTGTGTGTGTCTGTGTGTGTCTGTGTGTGTCTGTGTGTGTCTATGTGGGTCTGTGTGTGTCTGTGTGTGTCTGTGTGTGTCTATATGGGTCTGTGTGTGTCTGTGTGTGTCTGTGTGTGTCTGTGTGTGTCTGTGTGTGTCTATGTGTGTCTGTGTGTGTCTGTGTGTGTCTGTGTGTGTCTGTGTGTGTCTATGTGGGTCTGTGTGTGTCTGTGTGTGTCTGTGTGTGTCTATGTGGGTCTGTGTGGGTCTGTGTGTGTCTGTGTGTGTCTGTGTGTGTCTGTGTGTGTCTGTGTGTGTCTATATGGGTCTGTGTGTGTCTGTGTGTGTCTATGTGGGTCTGTGTGTGTCTGTGTGTGTCTGTGTGTGTCTGTGTGTGTCTGTGTGTGTCTGTGTGTGTCTATATGGGTCTGTGTGTGTCTGTGTGTGTCTATGTGGGTCTGTGTGTGTCTGTGTGTGTCTGTGTGGGTCTGTGTGTGTCTATATGGGTCTGTGTGTGTGTGGTCTGTGTGTCTGTGTGTGTCTGTGTGTGTCTGTGTGTGTCTGTGTGTGTCTGTGTGTGTGTCTGTGTGTGTGTCTGTGTGTGTCTGTGTGTGTCTGTGTGTGTCTATGTGGGTCTGTGTGTGTCTGTGTGTGTCTATATGGGTCTGTGTGTGTCTGTGTGTGTCTGTGTGTGTCTGTGTGTGTGTGTGTGTGTGTCTGTGTGTGTCTGTGTGTGTCTGTGTGTGTCTATATGGGTCTGTGTGTGTCTGTGTGTGTCTGTGTGTGTCTGTGTGTGTCTGTGTGTGTCTGTGTGTGTCTATATGGGTCTGTGTGTGTCTGTGTGTGTCTGTGTGTGTCTGTGTGTGTCTGTGTGTGTCTGTGTGTGTCTGTGTGTGTCTGTGTGTGTCTATATGGGTCTGTGTGTGTCTGTGTGTGTCTGTGTGTGTCTGTGTGTGTCTGTGTGTGTCTGTGTGTGTCTATGTGGGTCTGTGTGTGTCTGTGTGTGTCTGTGTGTGTCTGTGTGTGTCTGTGTGTGTCTGTGTGTGTGTCTGTGTGTGTGTCTGTGTGTGTGTCTGTGTGTGTCTGTGTGTGTCTGTGTGTGTCTATGTGGGTCTGTGTGTGTCTGTGTGTGTCTATATGGGTCTGTGTGTGTCTGTGTGTGTCTGTGTGTGTCTGTGTGTGTCTGTGTGTGTCTGTGTGTGTCTGTGTGTGTGTCTGTGTGTGTCTGTGTGTGTCTGTGTGTGTCTGTGTGTGTCTGTGTGTGTGTGTGTGTGTCTGTGTGTGTCTATATGGGTCTGTGTGTGTCTGTGTGTGTCTGTGTGTGTCTGTGTGTGTCTGTGTGTGTCTGTGTGTGTCTGTGTGTGTCTGTGTGTGTCTGTGTGTGTCTGTGTGTGTCTGTGTGTGTCTGTGTGTGTGTCTGTGTGTGTCTGTGTGTGTCTATGTGGGTCTGTGTGTGTCTGTGTGTGTCTATATGGGTCTGTGTGTGTCTGTGTGTGTCTGTGTGTGTCTGTGTGTGTCTGTGTGTGTCTGTGTGTGTCTGTGTGTGTTCTCACCACTGCATTGTCTGTGACTTTAATACAGAGATTCCCGTCGCAGTGTCTGTATTTGAGAACCACTCGGACCTGTGGAAAAACAGCACATTTCAGTCATGGCTTCATCCATGAGCTAAAGATAAGCCTAAGATCTAAGTCACTGCACATTTGTCTAAACACTAACATTCCTCAGACTTCATACCTTCATTGGATCTGTCAGATACAGTTTTTCTGCTGCTCGCGCAAACTCTTCCCACGTCTGAAAATAAGGCATTTTGGAGCAGCCCTGAGCCGTGCACAGGACGCTAACAGGCGGAAGGACTAGCATAGCCTAGCATAGCCTAGCATAGCCTAGCTTAGCCTCCCGAACAACACGTCAGCAAGGCGCTCAGCCAATCACAAGCGAGCTACGTCTACCTCGAGACGTCACGTGGGTAGGTGAAGGATGTGGACGGGTACTGCTGCCACCTACTGGCTCAGGCCGACTTGGCTCTGTCCCAGTGTTTTCCAACATATTGGACTGGAGCTGGGGATTTGACCTATTGTGCATATTTGTACTGCTATGGGAACCGTAGCACCTGGAGGAAACCTACGCAGACACAGGGAGAACATGCAAACTCCACTCAGAAAGACCTTGTTCCGATTGGGATCATTGGAAAGGAGGAAATCAAGAGAATCACAGAAATGCCTCAGACTAAAATATGTACATACAGTTTAGGAGGTTGTGTAAAAAGTGACGCTTAATTCAGAAAAACAAACCATAAGAAGTTCCATCGGCCTTTCAGTGTCAGCCAACTTCAGCTTTTTAATACAAAATATTAGATTCATTTTGACAGAACGCAAAACTCATACTTTAAAGTGATTGATTTACTTAACATTTGTGTGCCCTTTCAAAGCAAAACTCCTCCTCTCCGGAGGAAACCTGCAGCTGTGAGGAGCCGTATAATAAAGTGAAATAGTGTATTTTACAGAATATCAAAGAAGCGCAAAAAAACACATAATTCTTTTTTCACATTATTATTGAACAGTTGATATTGGATAATATCCAATGGCACGAGGCACACTACAACATTATAATACATGTGACTTTTCTAATTTAACCATGCCACGGCCCACTGCAGGGCTGCTGGAAGCCATGGTTACCAAAGAAGTTCTGCAATACTGATTTGTTGTGGGTATGTTGCTAGGAGACGGTACCAGATACTATAGTGTAATGGAAACACAACCAGGTAGAGCTGAGTAGAACTGGGTCAAGTAGGGCTGGTGGAAACGGGGCTTTGGAACAGTTATAACGGACTAGCTTCATAGATTTATTATAACGGACTAGCTTCATAGATTTATTATAACGGACTAGCTTCATAGATTTATTATAACGGGCTAGCTTCATAGATTTATTATAACGGACTAGCTTCATAGATTTATTATAACGGGCTAGCTTCATAGATTTATTATAACGGACTAGCTTCATAGATTTATTATAACGGGCTAGCTTCATAGATTTATTATAACGGACTAGCTTCATAGATTTATTATAACGGGCTAGCTTCATAGATTTATTATAACGGACTAGCTTCATAGATTTATTATAACGGACTAGCTTCATAGATTTATTATAACGGACAAGCTTCATAGATTTATTATAACGGGCTAGCTTTTTGGATCCACTACAGAACAGCCGGTTATCCCTCAGTGTGATGGTGTGACGGCAGAGAGACGCAGCGGAGCGGCAGCAGTGCGTCAGACCCGAGAGAGACCCGAGAGAGACCGAGACCGACCGAGAGAGACCGAGAGAGACCGAGAGAGACCGAGAGAGACCCGAGAGAGACCCGAGAGAGACCGAGACCGACCGAGAGAGACCGAGAGAGACCGAGAGAGACCGAGAGAGACCCGAGAGAGACCCGAGAGAGACCGAGAGAGACCGCGAGAGAGACCCGAGAGAGACCCCGAGAGAGACCGAGAGAGACCCGAGAGACCCGAGAGAGACCCGAGAGAGACCGAGAGAGACCGAGAGAGACCCGAGAGAGACCGAGAGAGACCAGAGAGAGACCCGAGAGAGACCGCGAGAGACCGAGAGAGACCCGAGAGAGACCGAGACCGACCGAGAGAGACCGAGAGAGACCGAGAGAGACCGAGAGAGACCCGAGAGAGACCGAGAGACAGAGAGAGACCCGAGAGAGACCAGAGAGAGAGAGACCGATCCGAGAGTCCGACCGAGAGAGACCGAGAGAGGACGAGAGAGAGACCCGAGAGAGACCGAGAGAGACCACCGAGAGAGACCCGAGAGAGAGACCGAGAGAGACCCGAGAGAGACCGAGAGAGACCGAGACCTGACCGACGAGAGACCGAGAGAGACCAGTAGAGAGACCCGAGAGAGACCCGAGAGAGACCGAGAGAGACGACCGAGAGAGACCGAGAGAGACCCGAGAGAGACCAGAGAGAGACCAGAGGGAGACCCAGAGGGAGACCAGAGGGAGACCGAGAGAGAGACCGAGAGAGACCGAGAGAGACCCGTGAGAGACACGAGAGAGACCGAGAGAGACCGAGAGAGACCGAGAGAGACCAGAGACAGACGACCGAGAGAGACCGTGAGAGACCGAGAGAGACCGAGAGAGACCGAGAGAGACCCCGAGAGAGACCAGAGAGAGACCAGAGGGAGACCAGAGGGAGACCAGAGAGAGACCAGAGAGAGACCGAGAGAGACCGAGAGAGACCGAGAGAGACCCGAGAGAGACCGAGAGAGACCGAGAGAGACCGAGAGAGACCCGAGAGAGACCCGAGAGAGACCGAGAGAGACCCGAGAGAGACCCGAGAGAGACCGAGACCGACCGAGAGAGACCGAGAGAGACCGAGAGAGACCGAGAGAGACCGAGAGAGACCGAGAGAGACCCGAGAGAGACCCGAGAGAGACCCGAGAGAGACCGAGACCGACCGAGAGAGACCGAGAGAGACCGAGAGAGACCGAGAGAGACCGAGAGAGACCCGAGAGAGACCCGAGAGAGACCAGAGAGAGACCGAGACCGACCGAGAGAGACCGAGAGAGACCGAGAGAGACCGAGAGAGACCCGAGAGAGACCAGAGAGAGACCGAGAGAGACCGAGAGAGACCCAGCTTGTCTTCACACTTTTTTTGTTTTTTTTATCCCGGGTTAGCTGTACCCTGTGAACATGTAGGATATACCACTGGATGCTTTACTTTTGGGATTGCCCTCTTCATCTGTGCTTCTGCCCCCTCCGAACCCCACACGGAGCTCTGCACACAACACCGCGGTCTGGCCCCTGAGTCTGGCCCCTGAGTCTGGCCCCTGAGTCTGGCCCCTGAGAGTCCGCGCGGAGAGAGCAGGAGTCCGGACGGGTCGCTGTCATGAGGTAAGCGGGTTGGTTCTGTGGAGGTGAGTGTCAGGGCATCAGCTGACACAGCGGAGGTCAGACTGCAGAGAGCCCGTGTGTGGTGCTCCTCTGCCGGGGTGAACATGGCCGCGGACTGCCATGGCCTCTCTGCAGCTTTCTACCCCAGAGATGTGCGCTTGTGTCGGGGCGTTGAAATGGCTATCCCCGCTAATCGTGTGGCTCTGAGATATATGCATGGTTCCGTTCCGTTCTGTTCCGTGCCTTTGAGCCTCGGAACTGTTCAAACGCAGTGTGAACATTCAGCGTTTGTGGCTTTAACTTTTGCGTGTTCTTCATCAACAGGAGGGACACGTTTGTAGGTCTTTGTAAACTTGGATTACTCTGTAGGGTATGAAAGAATGAAGGTTTCGGGTGCTGTCATGCCTCTCCCTTTTAGAAGCCCCTAATTGAGTCCAGCTGTGGGGCAGCTGTGGTTCTGCAGGCCCTGGGTGAGCTGAGAGAGGGGGGAGTTCACTCATGGACACTTTATACTTTTATAAGCCGCAGTGTAGGCCTTAATATAGGTCAATGTGAAAATAAAATGTATGTATGTTGGGTATATATTTAAAAAGTTGGAAGCAATTGGCAACTTTAGAGAAACCTGGATTAACCTCCATGTTCTTAGGAAAGTTGTTCTTCTGATGTTTTACTAAGATCTTGATGTTTATGTGAAGCCTGGAGTTAATGTGCTGTGGTTCCATCTCTTCACAGTCTGGAGAACAGCAGCAGACTGATCTATAGAGACAGAACATACAGCCATGTGTCAAAAAGTACTCTTTAAAATAAGCCTACATGTGAGAGTCTGTGTCGGTCTGTGTCAGTCTCTGAGGGTCTGAGAGGGTCTGTGAGGGACTGAGGGGTCTGAGAGGGACTGAGGGGGTCTGAGAGGGACTGTGAGGGACTGAGAGGGACTGAGAGGGACTGAGAGGGACTGAGAGGGACTGAGAGGGACTGAGAGGGACTGAGAGGGTCTGTGAGGGACTGAGAGGGACTGAGAGGGACTGAGAGGGACTGAGAGGGACTGAGAGGGACTGAGAGAGGGACTGAGAGGGACTGAGAGAGGGACTGAGAGAGGGACTGAGAGAGGGACTGGAGAGGGACTGAGAGAGGGACTGAGAGAGGGACTGAGAGAGGGACTGAGAGAGAGGGACTGAGAGAGGGACTGAGAGAGGGACTGAGAGAGGGACTGAGAGAGGGACTGAGAGAGGGACTGAGAGAGGGACTGAGAGAGGGACTGAGAGAGGGACTGAGAGAGGGACTGGAGAGGGACTGAGAGAGGGACTGAGAGAGGGACTGAGAGAGGGACTGAGAGAGGGACTGAGAGAGGGACTGAGAGAGGGAGAGAGACTGAGAGAGGGACTGAGAGAGGGACTGAGAGAGGGACTGAGAGAGGGACTGAGAGAGGGACTGAGAGAGGGACTGAGAGGGACTGAGAAGGGACTGAGAGGGACTGAGAGAGGGACTGAGAGAGGGACTGAGAGAGGGACTGAGAGGGACTGAGAGAGGGACTGAGAGAGGGACTGAGAGAGAGAGGGACTGAGAGGGACTGAGAGAGGGACTGAGAGAGGGACTGAGAGAGGGACTGGAGAGAGAGGGACTGAGAGAGGGACTGAGAGAGGGACTGAGAGAGGGACTGAGAGAGGGACTGAGAGAGGGACTGAGAGGAGGGACTGAGAGAGGGACTGAGAGAGGGACTGAGAGAGGGACTGAGAGAGGGACTGAGAGAGGGACTGAGAGAGGGACTGAGAGAGGGACTGAGAGAGGGACTGAGAGAGGGACTGAGAGAGGGACTGAGAGAGGGACTGAGAGAGGGACTGAGAGAGGGACTGAGAGAGGGACTGAGAGAGGGACTGAGAGAGGGACTGAGAGAGGGACTGAGAGAGGGACTGAGAGGGACTGAGAGAGGGACTGAGAGAGGGACTGAGAGGGACTGAGAGAGGGACTGAGAGAGGGACTGAGAGAGGGACTGAGAGAGGGACTGAGAGAGGGACTGAGAGAGGGACTGAGAGAGGGACTGAGAGAGGGACTGAGAGAGGGACTGAGAGAGGGACTGAGAGAGGGACTGAGAGAGGGACTGAGAGAGGGACTGAGAGAGGGACTGAGAGAGGGACTGGAGAGGGACTGAGAGAGGGACTGAGAGAGGGACTGAGAGAGGGACTGAGAGAGGGACTGAGAGAGGGACTGAGAGAGAGGGACTGAGAGAGGGACTGAGAGAGGGACTGAGAGAGGGACTGAGAGAGGGACTGAGAGAGGGACTGAGAGAGGGACTGAGAGAGGGACTGAGAGAGGGACTGAGAGAGGGACTGAGAGAGGGACTGAGAGAGGGACTGAGAGAGGGACTGAGAGAGGGACTGAGAGAGGGACTGAGAGAGGGACTGAGAGAGGGACTGAGAGAGGGACTGAGAGAGGGACTGAGAGAGGGACTGAGAGAGGGACTGAGAGAGGGACTGAGAGAGGGACTGAGAGAGGGACTGAGAGAGGGACTGAGAGAGGGACTGAGAGAGGGACTGAGAGAGGACTGAGAGAGGGACTGAGAGAGGGACTGAGAGAGGACTGAGAGAGGGACTGAGAGAGGGACTGAGAGAGGGACTGAGAGAGGGACTGAGAGAGGGACTGAGAGAGGGACTGAGAGAGGGACTGAGAGGACTGGGACTGAGAGAGGGACTGAGAGAGGGACTGAGAGAGGGACTGAGAGAGGGACTGAGAGAGGGACTGAGAGAGGGACTGAGAGAGGGACTGAGAGAGGGACTGAGAGAGGGACTGAGAGAGGGACTGAGAGAGGACTGGAGAGGGACTGGAGGGACTGAGAGAGGGACTGAGAGAGGGACTGAGAGAGGGACTGAGAGAGGGACTGAGAGAGGACTGAGGGAGAGGGACTGAGAGAGGGACTGAGAGAGGGACTGAGAGAGGGACTGAGAGAGGGACTGAGAGGAGGGACTGAGAGAGGGACTGAGAGAGGGACTGAGAGAGGGACTGGAGAGGGACTGAGAGAGGGACTGAGAGAGGGACTGAGAGAGGGACTGGGAGAGGGACTGAGAGAGGGACTGAGAGAGGACTGAGAGAGGGACTGAGAGAGGGACTGAGAGAGGGACTGAGAGAGGGACCGGGAGAGGGACTGAGAGAGGGACTGAGAGAGGGACTGAGAGAGGGACTGAGAGAGGGACTGAGAGAGGGACTGAGAGAGGGACTGAGAGAGGGACTGGAGAGGGACTGAGAGAGGGACTGAGAGAGGGACTGAGAGAGGGACTGAGAGAGGGACTGAGAGAGGGACTGAGAGAGGGACTGAGAGAGGGACTGAGAGAGGGACTGAGAGAGGGACTGAGAGAGGGACTGAGAGAGGGACTGAGAGAGGGACTGAGAGAGGGACTGAGAGAGGGACTGGAGAGGGACTGAGAGAGGGACTGAGAGAGGGACTGAGAGAGGGACTGAGAGAGGGACTGAGAGAGGGACTGAGGGGAGAGAGGGACTGAGAGAGGGACTGAGAGAGGGACTGAGAGAGGGACTGAGAGAGGGACTGAGAGAGGGACTGAGAGAGGGACTGAGAGAGGGACTGAGAGAGGGACTGAGAGAGGGACTGGGAGAGGGACTGAGAGAGGGACTGAGAGAGGGACTGAGAGAGGGACTGAGAGAGGGACTGAGAGAGGGACTGAGAGAGGGACTGAGAGAGGGACTGAGAGAGGGACTGAGAGAGGGACTGAGAGAGGGACTGAGAGAGGGACTGAGAGAGGGACTGAGAGAGGGACTGAGAGAGGGACTGAGAGAGGGACTGAGAGAGGGACTGGGAGAGGGACTGAGAGAGGGACTGAGAGAGGGACTGAGAGAGGGACTGAGAGAGGGACCGAGAGAGGGACCGAGAGAGGGACTGGGAGAGGGACTGAGAGAGGGACTGAGAGAGGGACTGAGAGAGGGACTGAGAGAGGGACTGAGAGAGGGACTGAGAGAGGGACCGAGAGAGGGACCGGGAGAGGGACCGAGAGAGGGACCGAGAGAGGGACTGAGAGAGGGACTGAGAGAGGGACTGAGAGAGGGACTGAGAGAGGGACTGAGAGAGGGACTGAGAGAGGGACTGAGAGAGGGACTGAGAGAGGGACTGAGAGAGGGACTGAGAGAGGGACTGAGAGAGGGACTGAGAGAGGGACTGAGAGAGGGACTGGGGGAGAGGGACTGAGAGAGGGACTGAGAGAGGGACTGAGAGAGGGACTGAGAGAGGGACTGAGAGAGGGACTGAGAGAGGGACTGAGAAGAGGGGACTGAGAGAGGGACTGAGAGAGGGACTGAGAGAGGGACTGAGAGAGGGACTGAGAGAGGGACCGAGAGAGGGACCGAGAGAGGGACTGAGAGAGGGACTGAGAGAGGGACTGAGAGAGGGACTGAGAGAGGGACTGAGAGAGGGACTGAGAGAGGGACTGAGAGAGGGACTGAGAGAGGGACTGAGAGAGGGACTGAGAGAGGACTGAGAGAGGGACTGAGAGAGGGACTGAGAGAGGGACTGAGAGAGGGACTGAGAGAGGGACTGAGAGAGGGACTGAGAGAGGGACTGAGAGAGGGACTGAGAGAGGGACTGAGAGAGGGACTGAGAGAGGGACTGAGAGAGGGACTGAGAGAGGGACTGAGAGAGGGACCGAGAGAGGGACCGGGAGAGGGACTGAGAGAGGGACCGAGAGAGGGACTGAGAGAGGGACTGAGAGAGGGACTGAGAGAGGGACTGAGAGAGGGACTGAGAGAGGGACTGAGAGAGGGACTGAGAGAGGGACTGAGAGAGGGACTGAGAGAGGGACTGAGAGAGGGACTGAGAGAGGGACTGAGAGAGGGACTGAGAGAGGGACTGAGAGAGGACTGAGAGGGACCGAGAGAGGGACTGGGAGAGGGACTGAGAGAGGGACTGAGAGAGAGACTGAGAGAGGGACTGATAGAGAGACTGAGAGAGGGACTGAGAGAGGGACTGAGAGAGGGACTGAGAAAGGGACTGAGAGAGGGACTGAGAGGGACTGATTATCTGTATCAAAATACAGATAATAATAATAATAATAATAATGCATGGCTTTTATACAGCGCTTTTTCGGAAACTCAAAGATAATCCAAAAA